CTTATTTTTAAATATATTTGGTAGAGAGCGCACAAACGGGGTAAGGAGGGGGAGTGGCAGGCAGAGGGAGAAGCAGGCTCCCCGCAGAGCAAGGAGCCTGATGTGAAACTCCATCCCAGGACCCTGGGATCATGACCTGAGTCAAAGGCAGATGTTTAACTGACTGAGCCACCCAGGCACCCCATCCTTTGTCTCATCGTCTTTGTTTGAAGTCTATTTTGTCCCATATAAATGTTGCTATGCTAGCTTTCTTTTGACGTCCATTTGCATGGTAAATGTTTCTATATCCCCTGTCAATCTGCAGGTGTCTTTAGGTCTGAAATGAATCTCTTGTAGGCAGTGTACAGATGGGTCTAATTTTTTCATCTACTGTCACTCTGTGTCTTTTGATTGGGGGGTTCAGTCCATTTACATTCAAAGTAATTATTGACAGGTATTTATTGCCATTTTGTTACTTATTTTATGGTGGTGGTTGTGGTTTTTCTCTGATCCTTTCTTGTGTGCTCTCTTATGGTTTGCTGGTTTTCTTTAGTGATATACTTGGATTCCTTTCTCTTTATTACTTGTATATACATTATTGGTTTTTGATTTGTGGTTACTGTTAGGTTTGTATATAACATTTTCTGCAAATAGTCTATATTAAGTTGATGGTCACTTAAGTGCAAATCCATTCTTTATTCCTCTCCCTGCCGTGTTTAAAGTGTATGGTGTCATATTTTACATCCTTTTATTTTGTGAATCCCTGGATTGATTTTTTTTTTAATAGAAATACTTATTCTTACTGCTTTTGTGTGATCTACTTTTCATACTTTGACTTATGACTCAAAGGGTCTCCTTTAATTTTTTTTGCAGGGCTGGGGTATCTGGGTGGCTCAGTTGGTGAAGTGTCCAACTCTTGACTTCGGCTCAGGTCATGATCTCAGGGTCATGAGATCGAGCCCCACATCAGGCTCTGTGCTCAGTGGAGGAGTCTGCTTGAGATTCTCTATCTCCCTCTCCCCTCTGCCCCTACCCCCTCAAATAAATAAATTAATCTTAAACAAAAACCACATTCAGGGCTGGTTTAGTGTTCATGAATTCCTTCAGTTTTTGCTTGTCTGAGAAACTTTTTATCTCTCCTTCCATTTGAATGATAGCCTTGCTGGATAGAGTATTCTTGGCTGTAGATTTTTCCCTCTTAGCACTTCTATATTTCATGTCACTCTATTCTGGCCTGAAAGGTTTATGCTGAAAAATCCACTGATAGCCTTATGGAGTTTCCCTTGTATATAACTTTTTTTTTTTCCTCTTGCACCTTTTAAAATGTTCCTTTATCACTATTATTATTATTATTTTTTGCCATTTTAATAACTATGTGGACCTCCTTTGGTTGATTTTTTTTTTTTTTGGCGGGGGGTGGGGGGGAGGCTCTCTTGCCTCCTGGACTTGGATCTGTTTCCTTCCCCAGCTCTGGGAACTTTTCAGCTATTATTTTTTCAAATAAATGTTCTGCCGCCTTTCCTCTCTCTTCTCCTTCTGGGATCCCTATAATGTGAATGTTTTATGCTTGATGGAGTCACTGAATTTCCTAAGTCTATTCTTATTTTGCATAATTCTTTTTTTCTCTCATTTGTTCAGCTTGATTACTTTCTATCACTCTATCTTCTAGTTCATTAATTCATTCCTTTGCTTCTTCCAGCCTCCTATTTATTCCTCAAGTATATCTTAGATTTCATTTATTGAGTTCTTCATCTCTGATTGGTTCCTTTTTTATGTTTTCTTTCTCTTTGTTAAGGGTCTCACTCATGTCCTCCACTCTCTTCTCAAGGCCAGTGAGTATCTTCATGATCATTACTTTAAATTCCCTATCAGGCATGTTACTTACATCCATTTCGCTTAGGTCTCTTGCTGCGGTTTGGTCCTGTTTTTTCATTTGTGATAGATTCCTCTTTCTCCTCATTTTGCCTAACTCTCTCTGTCTGTTTCTGTGGGTTAGGAATGTCAGTTTTGTCTCATGCTCTTGAAACCAGTGGGTGGAAGTGCACTTTTAATGAGGTAGGGCTTGTCCTTCTCTGCAGGTGAAGTGCAGCCCCCCTGGAGACTGGTGTCACGTGGGTTCTGGGTTCCGCAAGGTGGCTGTGTGGTTATGATGAGGGGCGGGGGAAGGAAATGGCACCTGCCAGCTCCTTTGTTCCTGGAGGAGTCCCTCAGGGAACTCTGAGATGACTAACCACCATTGCCTCATGTAAGCCCCAGGTGCCTTGCAAACTGCTGCTTCTAGGCAGAGAAGGCAGGCTGTTGGTTGTGCTGGCTCCGTATGGGTAGGGACTCAGCTCCTGATTGCCCTCTGGGCTCTCTCAGAGCAGAGCCACTGATTTTTTAAGGTTCGTTTTATGTCCCCCTGGTTGTAAGCACTCAGAAATTTGGCTCCTCTGATTTTCAAAGCAAAATGCTTTGGGGATTTCTCTGCCCTTGCAGGCTCTCTAGTGTGATAAATTGTTTTCTCTCCCCTCTCTGTGCCCATGGCTCCCTCCCTCTGGTGGTTCCCACTGAGCCCTCACCCTTCCTACCCTCTTTGATGTGATATTTTCTCTACAATTAGTGGTGGAGTTTGTTTGGCAAGTCTCTAGGGTCCTTTCCTGGGTGTTGGCTCTCATACAAGTGTTACCTAGTTGTATCCAAGGGATGAGATGTGTTTAGAGTCCTCTTACTCTGTCATCTTCCCAGGAAGTCTCCTATCAAGTGTATTTTTAATTTCGTTGTGTTTTTCCTCTTTGATGGGTTTTTTTTTATCTCTTTGTTAAGGATCTCATGGATGTCCTCCACTCTTTTCCCCAGTCCAGTGAGTACCTTTATGATCATTACTTTAAATTCTTTATCAGGCACATTACTTCTCTACATTTTGTTTAGCTCTCTTGCTATGATTTTGTCCTGTTCTTTCATTTGGGACCTACTCCTCTTATACATTTTGCCTAACTTGCTGTGCTTCTCTGTGTTAGCAAAGTGAGTTGTTTCTTGGTCTTGAAAGTAGGGACCTTGGGGCGCCTGGTGGCTCAGTCAGCATCTGCCTTTGGCTCAGGTAATGATCCTGGGGTCCTGGGATGGAGCCCTGCATTGGGTTCCCTGCTCAGCAGGGGGTCTGCTTCTCCCTCCGCTTCTGCCCCTCCCCCCACTCGTGCTTGCTCTCTCTCTCTCAAAAAAAAAATCTTAAAGAGAAAGTAAACAGTGGCCTTAGGAAGAAAAGAGGTCCTATAGTGCCCTGCAGGGCCATGTTCCCTACTGACCAGAACCTGGTGCTTCAGGGTCTCAGTGTCTCCTCTGTGTGTTGCGAGTGCCCTGGTGTGGTGGCTGAGCCACATCTGCCTTCAGTCCAGTCGTCTGCACTGGCTATTTGCCTGCTGTGGGGAGGGTTCGGTCCCCGTGGTGGTGGTGGGGGTGCACCAGTCTGGGGCCACCTTGGGCTTGAGGTGGGTCAGACCAGGCATTTGCTAGAGATGCGGTGGCACCCAACTGTAGGCCCCTTTCCTTGTGTTGTCCCCTGAGAAGCTTTCATTGGCGGGTGGGCCTGCAATCAGACAAGTTTCTTTCCCATGCCCACCACTCTAGTCAGTGGGACGGGTCTGTGTGGTTGGCTTTCCCTCGCCCGGGGGAAGGAGTCCCTTTGCAGTGGTGGTGGCCCCTGATGGGGCTGCTAGCACACTGCTGAGCTTGGGGCCCCAGTGTGGACGGGCTCTGGCCAGGGGTATATCAGGGGGGTGGATCTGCAATGTGCTGGGGGGTAGGGGGCAGCTGGGTGGGCGTGTTTATGAGCAGCCAGTCCTCAGCAGGAGGGCCTCAGGCTGGCCTGGGTGCAGGGGGCAGATCGGCTGAAGCGCAGTGCTGGGGGGTGGGGCAGGGTGCAGGCAAGCTGGGTACCGAATGTCAGCACTGCGCTGGTTCCCGCAGGTGACCGTGTGCTTATGCTGGGGGTGGGGGGGCGGGAGAGGGAAATGGCGCCTTTGTTCCTGGAGGAGTCTCCCAGAGCTCTGTCCCTCTGGGACACGTGCTAAGATTAGTAAAGAACTCTCCCTTTTGTATACCCCAGGCATTTGTTGAACTGCCGCTTCTTTGCTCTATCTCCCTGGGGTGTTTGTTGAGCTGCCTCTATTTAAGGGCAGGACACTGTTTTCTGCTGCCCTTCTGACTCCCCTGGAGCTGACCCTGCTGATTCTGAAAGTTGCAGATGTTAAGTCCCACTGATTGTAAGAACTGGAGAAGTTAGGCCTCTCTGGTATTCAAAGCCAAATGTGAGGGGGACTGGTCTTCCCAGTGGAGGTCCCCTAGGTCTCAGGTGCCTGGCGTGGGGTCTGTTCCTCTCTCAGCCTGTGGCATCCCTCTGTCCTGCAGACAGTCCCCTGGCTCAGTCTGGCTCCTGACCACATCTCTTGCCCTCCTGCCCCCTTTGATGTGGCCTCTTTTCTACGTTTAGCTGTGGAGAGTCTGCTCTGTCAGTGTTTGGGTCGTGTTCTGGGTTATTTGCACTGACCTGGATGTTACCTGTGGGTTTATCTGTGGGACAAGGTGAGCCTACGATTCTCCTACTCTGCAATCTTCGCAGGAAGTCCTGACTGGGGCATTGTTCAGTGTGGAATTCAGGGCAAGCCACACCCCCCCCCCCCAACGCCCCCATCCCCATCCTAAAGTCACCATCTCTAGCCTATTTTGTTCTAGTTGTGCAGTCCTATCTGGGTCTCAGGGGCACTCTCTGCCTTTAAGGATGTTGAAGGGTGAATTAACAGTATCTCTGCAATCCGGCCACCTGGGCACTCTCAGTCCCTGTCCATGGCCTTCAGGAGCCACGTATAAACATGGCAGTGAGGCCAACCCAAGGATGGAGGATCATTCCTCCTAAAGACTTGAGAAGGTCTCACTGGGGCATGGGGAACCTTGGCTCTGGTTCTGACCATGATGCTAGTATCTTGTATCTTGGTAGCTTCAAGCCAATCACTTCACCCACTGGAGTCTCTAACTTTTACTTGTAGGATGAAGGGGCTGAGATTCAGATTTTGCAGAGGAACATCTGAGTTGCCACTTCTGGATGAATGAGGAGTTAAGGTAAGACTGCCTGCTAGAACACAAATTCTCAATGGGGTCACACAACACACGTTTCATATCGCGGTCACCAGTCGGGAATGGCTGGTCAGGGGACTTTCCTATGTGACTATCCAGGGGCCTGGATCCTTCTGTGGCTCTGCCCACCTTTAAACTGGGAGCTTTGTGAGGTTTCCAAGAAGAGTAGAGCAGAGCGACGCATGAATGCTCCAAAACAAGATGATTCAAAACACTTGCACTGGAAATTTTTTGGGCCAGGTCTGGAAGTGCCCTGCGCCCCTCCCACCCACATTTCATGGGCCAGAAGTTGGCCACAAGGCCACACCTAGGCACGAGGAAATCTGGGAAATGTGGTCTGGCCATGTGGAGAGGAGGAAACGCGTTGGCTACACAACCAGCCAGCTGGGGAGAGAGAACCGTTTGCCACTTGAAATGGCAGGCCTTCCTGGCTATCCTTGACTTACCAAAGGGTCTAAAACCATACACTTCGACCTCAACCAGGGCAGTCGTGTACAGGAGGGTGTTACAATAATGTCACTGCAAGAAGACAGCAGGCTAGGGCGCCTGGGTGGCTCAGTTGGTTAAGCGACTGCCTTCGGCTCAGGTCATGATCCTGGAGTCCCGGGATCGAGTCCCGCATCGGGCTCCCTGCTCGGCAGGGAGTCTGCTTCTCCCTCTGACCCTCCCCCCTCTCATGTACTCGCTCTCTCTCATTCTCTCTCTCTCAAATAAATAAAATCTTAAAAAAAAAAAAGACAGCAGGCTGGATTAGGGAGTGCATCCACACCTCCAGGTTTTCCCAGGAGTGGCCCAACTCAGGCCTGGGGTCTGGGCATTCCATCCCCAGTTCAGATGACAGATTCTATAATCACCCAATAGAGGAAGGAAGAGAGTACTGGATTTGGTAAAGATGCAGGATATTGCTGAAGAGAAGCCATACAGCCACTGTTCCATAAAGACAGTATTTTTTTTTTTTAATTTTTAAAATTCTGCATCTGAAAACACAGTATGACAGAAAGCATCTATATACACCTGCAGTGTTTTTGGTATGATACAGTATTTAATACATCCACTGTTTTCTGCAAAAGATTTTGCTTTGTCAGACAGAAACAAACTCCCCTAGACAAAAAAATACAGCTAAGGCACAATTTCGTTGTTTTTCTGCTAAATGAAGATACAGAAAAGGTGCAAAAATGGGCGGGTAGTGCAATCACTTCCGAGAAACACTGTCTACCTCGAAGAAAAGCGTTCGTAGGATCGGAATTTTGATGACTGGTCAATTTCAGATAGTTCAATCTCTTTTAAAATACTCCTTTAAATAAATAGCAAAATATCTACATCTTTCAGTGTGTGCCATTGGAATTCTCTTTTTTAAACTTTATTTACAGATTTTTTTAAATCAATACATTACAAAATATTTCTGTACAGTTTTATGCATATCATGATCTATAACAAAATAGTTATTTTTAAAAACTATATCACCACATGTCTTTGAGAAAAAAATGAGGGGGACAGTAATAACTTATCATGAGGCCTCTACAAAAAAAATAAAACAAATGCTACTGACAACATAATATTAAAAACAAAAAAGAAGACGGAGAAAGGACTCTAAGGACGGTTGCACTCAATTCCAGTGAATTTCCTATGAGAACCCTGGGGGGGTTGTCTTTGGCCGCCAACGGGACCTGGAGCGATGGAAGTCAGGAGCGTGATCCCTTTGAGAACACGACCCACGACCCATCTGCTGGGAATACGGAACACTCTCCCTTTCCAGGCAGGAAGGACGGAAAGAGAAATCGAGACACTCTCCTGATTTACCCTTGAAGAAGTACAGGAAGTCATCAAGCCGGGGGGAGGGTGGGGGGGGGTGGAGGCGGAGGGGGCGGTGGGAGAGGGAGGACGGGGGAGTAGGTGCTCACACCGGCCTGGGGCAGAAGCCAGCCCGGTGCCTCCGCAGTGCGCGTGGACAGCTGCACCAGCGAGCTGCCGTTGGTGGGAGCACCGGAGCCTTCATTTTACCCAGAGGAACAACAGAATACTTTTTCTTAAAGACGACACGTAGAAGCCGTTTCTGTCGCGTCTGCAAGCTACAGACGGGCAGCCCCTGGCTGAGGAGGTTGCCCTGAAAGCATCGGGATGCTCTTTCTTGGATGTTGGTAGAAGTTGGAGGGAGAGGGCAGTCAGCTTTCCAAAAATAATGTTAAGGCCACATTTGAAAAAGGAGAAACCTAAGGCTTTTGGGGGTCGGTGGGGGAAGCAGGGGAGGAGAAGCAAGTGGGAGGGAAATGAGGATGGAGCAGAGATGGTATGCAGGAAGTGGGGGGGTGCCAGGGGCAGAACCTGCTTTCCTGGGGACTCCGGGGGGGGGGGGGGGGGAGAGGCAGTTGGAGTGTTCCCAGCCAGGGGGAGGGGAGGGGAGGGGAGGGCCGCCTTCTCCCTGCGGGCTTGGTGAGGGCAGAACCAAAGACAACGTGAGGGGTAGACACAGGTGGCGCATGAAAGCCCTCCTCGGTCTTAAGAGGGGTCTACACAGTATCTTGTTGGTAAGGTAAAACAAACAAAAAAGCCCAAACTTCCGAGAGAAACAGACAGAGAGAGGGAGAGAAATTTGCATAGATTGTACATTCAGCTCCAGCACATTTGGGACACCTAATTATTCCCCCCCCCTCCCCAGGTAAACTTCTCAGCAGACACAATGAGGTAGCGCCTGTGGTAGACCCATGGGCAAAAAGTAAGGTAACTGAGTTGAAGAGGGTGTCCTGTGAGCCAGCACAGCTCCAACAGAGTGTCCAAGACGTGTGCTAAGACGGCTGCTCAAACCTGGGGCTGTTTGACACACCCCTCCCTCCCCGGCCCCTGTCTTTGTCACCTCCGCCTGGGCGGGCTGGAATTCTGGAAGGTATGGGCCTCCTTAGGTTAGGTCTCCAAATTCTTTTTTTTTTTTTTAAGCACCATCTTGGGACCAGGCCAGCCTCACAAGCCAGTTCTTCTGGGACCCTTCTCCTCCGCGGGACCGTCTCTTCGGGGTGGAATGACTGGTAAGAGATTTGTGTTCTTGCTTCAGAGCAATCGGCGAAATGAGCTATAATCTTTGCCCCTTCCTACTGGTGGCTCATTTCCTCCTCCACCAGGGCACTGCCTGACCTCCTGGCAAACCAGCTCTCCAGAGAGCAGAGGTGGTTGGCCGTGCACGGGATGAACTATGGAATTTCTCTTTGCCCACACTCAAAACTGAAAAAAACCCATAAAACAAAAACACATGGTTGACACTTAAAAATCAAATTTCCTATGAAAATCTGGATCTCTGGCTTCCTTTACCAAATTGGAAGATTCTGCAGGCTCACTTGCAAAGACGGGCTGCTGTCTTTGGGTGGGCCGTGCGCACAGACCTCAGTCCCCACCACTCCCAATTGTCTTATGCCAACCATGTTAAGCATTTGCGACCCCTACCACAGAGTGTGGCTTTGACCTAACAGGGTTTGGCCAACAGCTGTTCCTAGTATACCTCCCTTGGGTGCTGTTGGGGGGCTTATGTCCTGAGTCCCCGGTGGACTTTGCTGTGTAAGGGGTCTTGGCTCAAGCCCCACCTTCCACAGCTGCTTCTCTCTACTCTGCACCTTCCTGGCAAAGAGATGGAGGTTCCAGCCCATGTCCTCTTTGTACTTGTCAACCAGGGAGCCTGAAGGCAGCAGGTCCACCCAACCCAGGCATGTGCCCAGAGAGATGCAATGCGCCCCTTTTGGGGACTAGGATGGTCTTGCTTGTCCTGAGGGCACTGGCATCTTAAACTAGCAAGGGGGAAATGAAGCCTGAATGACTCCTGATCTGACCAGGAAGGTCTTTTTCCAAAGGGAGGTAAGGGCCCCCTTGTTAAATATGGGGTCTGTGCATTGCTTGCGTCCTTGAGGGAGATTGCTTTGCGCCTGGCCTGGGCTGTGGGAGTCGGGAAGACAGGCAGCCGCCTGAGCGTCACTGGACGGGCTGGCTGGGAAATGACACAGGGTGCCACAGCCTCTTGAATGCTTCCTTCTCCCCAGACTGCCCTCAGGCTCCTGGTCAGGGAGACAGGGGCCAGGCTTCAGGCTGTAACCCGGGTTCATCTCCTGTGGTTGGGTCCCACAGCCAGAACTCACGGCTGCCTGCCCTAGTGCCCTTTCCCGAATCACTCACTCTCAGGCCGATGAAGTTCAGCTGTTATTGTGTCCCCTGGGAAAACATCACCCTTTCTCAAATCGTCCTGGGCTTTGTTTGGAAATTTTTGTTTTTAATAGCAACGTTATTCCCTGGTCCAAAAACCAGAGATCTTTACAGAAACACGGGGTGTGACTGACTGGCTTCTGAATTCCTTGCTGTGAGCGGGGGTGGGGAGGGGAGATGGTGCCCAGAGTAGACCATCTCTGCTTCTTCTGGGGTGGGGGGGGGAATATCAGCATTGTCATGGGTGCAGGCAGGGGTCTGCAGGCACACACACCAGACCCAGGCCTGAGCCCTGCACAGGACACGGTGGAAACCACGGGACTCCTAGCAGTCTGGCCAGGAGGGTAAAGAGGAAGGCTCCCTGGGTGGGCTGGGGCAGAAAGGGGTGGTGGCACGGGCTGGCTGGGCTCCTAGAGTTTGCAAGTTCATGGAGGGATAATCCGGGTTTTCTCAGCAAGCTCCTCCGAGGTCTCTGGAGCCCCTGGTGACCATGGCTAGCTCTGGGCTCAGTACGACCATTCCCCGTCTTCGTAAACTGGCTTTCTCTCCCTCTCAGGCTTGGAAGGGGGTCCTCTCCCTCCACCCGAGTCATGAGCATGTCTTGTCCCTGTGCCTGCCGTGGGCAGCAGGGATGGCTCAGGAATTCCAGCCCCACGGGGACCAGAGAACCCGCCGAGGCTCCCTCCTGCCTGAGGAAAAACTAAGGCTCCAGTGTCCCCAGGGGTACCCCGCTTTCAGCCAGTGGATGATGCTGGTGCAAGCATTCTCCTCGTGGTGTCCAACACCCCTGCTTTCCTCTGAGGACATGGAGAATGTGGGGCAGACAGGAGAGAGACAGACACTGGGGGTGGGGAGGGGGGGCCTTTCGTGAATAAAGGCAGCTTCAGTTAGTAAGAGACGTAACTGACAAGCTGCAAAAGCAGCACCTACTCATTAGTCATTGACTAAACTATAGAAATAATAAATACCGAAAGTGTCCCTCCTCCAGACCCTCCCTGGCCCCTAGGACATGCGGCCTGGCGGGACTGTGGGTGAGCGTGGAGCGGTCAGGAGGGACTGAAGTACCTTCATACCCACACTGCCCAGAAACACAAGGATGGGCCCTCCAGGGCAGGGCCGTTAGCAACCGGGGGTGGGCCTTGGCCAAGGAAAGCCTGTCCTGGCAGGGGGGGGTGCGGCGAGGGGAGGCTAGAATTGGAGAAGGAAGGGGCCTCGGGATGGGCTCTCCAGCGGAGCAGGGCCAGCCCTCCGAGGCACACAGCAAGGACACATTTCAGGTTTACGGCAACTCAAGCAGTTGGAAGAACACTATTGTTTAGGCTTAAACCGCCCTGATGCTCAAGCTTCTAGCTTTCACATGGCATAGCAGAGGGGCCTGCTGGCACCTTGGAGAAGGAAGGGCATGAATTTAAAAACCAAATCTGAAATGCTTGTTACTGGATGTGAAAAGCCTGGTCACTTCCCTACAGCACCAGGGGGGTGGGGGGTGGGGCAATTCCCAAAGGTCTGGAGTGCCCAACTTCGGAGCGCAAGGGCTCAGGCAGGGGGCGGGTATTGCTGTGCTGTCCAGCTCAGGAGTTGGCTCCAACCCATCTCTGAGTCTCATGGCCATTGTCCCCAGAGTTCTCCCGGCCCCTGAATGGCTGGGAGATTTGATGCTCCTACCCCTGAACCTCATCCCATTGATGCCACCTCAGGGGGCAGTCTGGAGGGAGGCTGGCCTGGACCGCAGACTTTGGGGAACCTCGGCCATGTCCCATCAAAAAGCTATCCTGCTTATCTCGTTAGTAAGGAGGACAACTCACCGGACAAGGGCTGGCGGAAGGCTCAGCCAGTCCCCTTTCCCCGCTCAGGAGCAGGAAGATGAGCCCAAGGGTGGGGCTGGAGATCAAGCCCACAGTCTGGGCAGTGCTTTTCATATGGGGTTTTGCAGAGCCCTTGGGTTCTGGGGAGGTACCTCAGGAGGTGCCCCGGGCAAAGGGACTGCCCACTGGGCTGAGCGTTGAGGAAAAAACCTCAGACTCCCCAGCTTCAACCAGAGCAGCCTGGATTTCAACCACACCTTGAACTTCTGCCTCCACCTGTGCTTAGTAAACAAAATTCTGCTGCTCAAAATAAAAGTTGGAGAATCACTTGACTGGGGGGATTGGGTCACCAAGGGGGAGGACAAGGAACCTGGAGGCTTCGAGGATCAACCAGAAGAGGTAAGACCACGATGGCGCTGGGACCCAGCAATCCTCGCCCCCAGGGGCCAGCGTGCACAATGCGGGTCGTTGGCACCTCCACACCTTCCTTCTCCATCTTTCTGTAGCCAGGAGAGCCCCCTCGTCACAAAAGGCACCCCTGGGACTGGGGGGCCAGGGTCCGGGCGCCACCGGCCCTCGAGCTGCTTTCCCTCTGAGATCTGCTGAGGCCCACGCGGGCCCGGTGCTACCTGAGCCGGCCATCGGGTTTGACCGCCCCCAGCTCGGACTTGGGGTCGGGGCTGAAGGAGCTCCAGGCCGTCTGGCTGCAGGGCTGCATGACGGGGCAGGCACTGAGGCCTGTGGTGCAGACGTCCATGGCAGTCCACATGCCACCTACCAGAGAGTCCAGCCAGCGCTCCAGCACTGTGCCCGTGGAGGCTGCGTTCCTCCGTGCCTGCTCCACCTGGGCCGGGCTGATGGGCAGGCTGAGGACGGGGTTCAGGCTCTGGAAGCTCTGCTCCATGTAGGCGCTGCGGGGGGGCCCGCTGTGCAGCTTCAGCGCCTCCTCTGAAAGCCACAGGGAACAAGGAGATGGTCAGGAGGGTCACAGAGCGCATACGCCCGGGACAGTCTCCTGTGGTTGGCAGGAGTCAAGGGGTCGGCAGCCCCGTGGCACAGACGAGGACACACCCCCCAGGGACACTCCCTCCACAGCCACGAGCCCACTTTGTGCAGGGCACGGTCCACACGTCTGTTCACTGAGCACAGGCTTACAGAGCAGCTCAGCAGTCCAGACCATTCATTCACTCATAGGTTTTCAGCACCTACTTTGTGCAAGGCATTCATTCAACACCTACCTCTCTCTGCAAGGCACTCATTCATTCATTTGCTAAAGATTAAGGGCCAGGCCCCACTCCACCTGGCGCGGAGGGAACCAGATAAGATTATAGCCCCGCGGAGGGAGACTGAGGACAATCCATAGATAAGGTCCTTTCAGCCGGTGATCAGTAACTAACTCGAACGGACTACGGACTACGTTATACGCTGCGTGCGGAGTCAGAGCAAGGGCTTGGCACGCTGTGGTCCTTGGGCCAAGTCTGGCCCACCAGGTGTGGTAAGTCAAGTCTGACCAAGACACAGCTGTGTCTCTTTGCAGACCTGCCGTCCGTGGCTGCTCCTGCCACCAGAGCACCACAGAGTCGTTGAGACAAACCGTGTGTGGCCCACAAAGCGGGAAAGGTCTACCGTCCAGCCCTTTACAGTAAAAGCTTGCTGGCCCAGGAGTTAGAGAGTGATGAGGATGTTTATCTGGATGAGGGGGGCAAGGGAGACCTCTCTGAGGTGCCACCCGAGCTGAGTGCTGGTTAATGGGAACGAGGAAGCCATCTGCAGATGGTGGCAAAGAATTCTGGGCAGAGGCAAAACCTCATTAAAGGCCTTTCTGCAAATCACAGAGCTAATGAGAGTCGCAGCCAAAGTTTGAGTCCGGGTCTGTTGACCTCAACCGGCTCTCTCCACAGCCCTGCTTTGCTGAGCAGCACCTCATGCGTGAGCATGCAGACGACAATCAGGGCACCTGGGTCTGAACCCACAGGGCTCACAGCCCTGGTGTGTGGCTTCCGGCGCGCCTGCTCTTTCCTTGACCATCAGAGGAGTACAGTACCTGGTACCTTAGAGCTCCGTGATGATTAAACGTGCTGATGTTAAGTGCTTACAATGGCACCTGGCATTAGTACCCAACATAACTTCCACAACTCAAACCCAAATAATCCACTTAGAAGGGGGCGCCTGGGTGGCTCAGTTGGTTAAGCGACTGCCTTCGGCTCAGGTCATGATCCTGGAGTCCCGGGATCGAGTCCCACATCGGGCTCCCTGCTCGGCGGAGAGTCTGCTTCTCCCTCTGACCCTACCCCCTCTCATGTACTCTCTCTCTCTCTCATTCTCGCTCTCTCACATAAATAAATAAATCTTTAAAAAAAAAAAAAAAAGTGGGCAGAAGACATCCAGATGGCCAACAGACACATGGAAAGACGCTCGACCTCACTCATCAGCAGGGAAATGCAAACCAAAGCCGCAAGGAGGTATCACCTCACACCTGTCAGAACAGCTAAAATCAGGGGGCGCCTGGGTGGCTCAGTCGTTAAGCGTCTGCCTTTGGCTCAGGTCATGATCCCAGCATCCTGGGATCGAGTCCCACATCGGGCTCCCTGCTCGGCGGGAAGCCTGCTTCTCCCTCCCCTACTCCCCCTACTTGTGTTCCCTCTCTCGCTGTGTCTCTGTCAAATAAATAAAATCTTTAATTAAAAAAAAACTAAAATCAAAAAGACAGGAAACAAGTGTTGGCGAAGACGTGGAAAAAAAGGAACCCTTGTGCTCTGTTGGTGGGAATGCAAGCTGGGGCAGCCACTCTGGAAAACAGTATGGAGGTGCTTCAGTTCAAAACAGAGCTACTCTAGGATCCAGCAATCGCACTACTGGGTATTTACCCAAAGAATATGAAAGCGCTAACTGCTAAACATATGTGGGCCCCTACGTTTATTGCAACATTATTTACAATAGCCAAGCTACGGAAGCAGCCCAAGTGTCCATCCATAGATGAATGGATAAAGAAGATGTGGTGTATACAGTGGAATATATACAGCGGAACAGTACTCAGTACCAACAAGAAGGAGATCTTGCCATTTACATCAACATGGACAGAGCTAGAGCGTCTAATGCTAAGTGACAAGACCATAGGATTTCACTCATGTGAAATTTAAGAAACAAAAACAAAGGAAAACAGAGACACAGGAAAAACCAGACTCTTAGATAGTGAGCTGCTGGTTGCCAGACGGGAGGTGGGCGGCAGGAGGAGTGCAAGAGGTGATGGGGGTTCAGAGTGCACTTGTCGTGATGCGCACGGGGGGATGTAAAGAATTGTCGAAACACTATATTGTACACCGGAAACTACATCATACTGCACGTGAATTATACTATATGCACACGTGGATGGCAACTTGGCAAAGACTAACTGCTTGGAGAAGTTTAGCCAGGATTATTAGGGTTGGTGTTATTAGTACACAACCCTTGTACACACACAAAGCCACAGGGCTGGTGTTATGCCCACTTTGCAGATGGGGAAATGGGTGGCCATCGTGCGAGACAGAGCTGCGGTTAGGTCCTAGACTGGCTGAGTCCAATGCCCGTTCTTGTCCTCACGATTCTCTACTTGTGGGCTCATCCACCAACTGGAAACTAAAAAAGCTTTTTTCCCCCTTAATTTTATTTTCATCTGGAAGCCAGTCTTTCCAAGACGTGGTTTCCCCATCTGTAAACTGGATACTCGTCCTTGCCCCAGTGAGACCCCCAGGGCTGGCAAGGGGCTCAGGAAGTTCATGTGCTCTATGAACAGTAAAGGGACACATCAAGAGGGGGCTATGACTACTTCCTGGGCTTACAGATGGGGAAGCAGAAAGTGCACACATTTGGGCTGACGGAGAGAAGCTAGACGTTTCTATTTTGGAGAAGTTCCCTCTTACTGCCTATTTCATTGCCAAACACAAAAATAGATTTAAAAAACTTACTGGCCACTGATTTATGTGAGTTGTCAGTTTTAGCCAGTCAGCTCTGGCTCGGGTGGAGATAGCTAGGTCTCCAAGACACGTCCTTATGGGACAGTGTGGCATTCAGAAAACAGTTCCCGTTCACCTGATGGTGGCTGTCCCCCTCAGCGGCAACCAGGATAGCTCAGATAATCTGCATGCTGTTTTCGAATATGTGCGGTATGGAGTGGGGTTCAAGAAGGAGGCAGAAAGACCATACACCTGCCCTTCTTAAAGTAACCAGTGGAATTAACAACATGCCTTATAAATCTGGCCCTAGCCCACCTCTTCCTGGTGCTGGCAGGCAGGGTGGGCAGCTCCTGGACCATCTGTCCGAGAACAGAGCCTGTTCTTTCTCGAGCAGTTCCTGCCTTGTCCACCGGAGCCTCTCAGTCCCTCCACATCTGCAGAGCTGGCAGTGGGGAGCTACCCAAACCCACAAAAGGCCGGACATGCAAAGTGAAAAGAGCAGCTAACAAGCATCTGAACGCGGGGAACCAAATATTGTGGCTGATGCAGAAAACCCTTATGAAAAATGAGGTTAATGCGGGAAATGCTATTACAGTACCAGCCCGTGATGCATGCCTCTATAATTAAATTTTCCTCAATTCCACCTCATCAGATTTCTTGAGATTACCAGGGACGCATCAATAGCAAATGACTCTTGATGAATCATTTTACAAATTGCATTGCTCCCACCTTCGTGTTCCCTGTCACTGGAACACTGTTAACAGACACACTTACTGATGGGTGGGGTGGGGGGTGCTGACCCCTGGCTCATCCTGGGCAGGGGAAGGAAGAGCCGTGCCATCTTCAGAAACTCCAAGGAGGAAAAAAAAAAAAGCTGGAAAAATCAGGACCCAAGTGAATGGTCCCAGGGTTTTTTTTCTCCCCCTGGAGTGGAGGACCGCTCCTTTGTTCTGTCTGACAGGTGTATCTGGAGCCAAGAGGCGAATGCTATTTCTATCATCCTCCTCTGCGTCTGGCTTTGGGAACTCTCAGGGACGCTAAGGATGGGAAACTCATCAGGAGGGCACTTGCTCGTGCCCAGCTAGTTTTGGAGGGGCTGTCTTTTGCCTGTTTCACAGGGGAGGGGGGGAGCAGACTTCCATCTCGAGAAAACATGAGGTCTGTATCTTTCTGCTTGCTCAGCACAGAAACTTAGCAGAAGTCAACAGGGTTCATGTCACACCCCCCTGTTCGGATCCCAGGCACCCCCTCCCCATGTCTTTGTCCCCTTCTCCTTAGGTCACTGGCTAAATGGCACCCAGCCCAGAACCCTTTTTACCCTAATAGAGGTTGTAATGTGTTTTTGGCTTCTGGGTTTCTGATCTGTTGGATGTAGACAGGTAATTTCAAATATCAAGAGACCCAGAAATCATGTTTCGAGGAATCTATTTTATGGATGTATCTGTATGGGCACAATTTTATTTATTTATTTATTTTATTTTTTAAAGATTTTATTTATTTATTTGACAGAGAGAGACACAGTGAGAGCAGGAACACAAGCAGGGGGAGTGGGAGAGGGAGAAGCAGGCTCCCCACGGAGCAGGGAGCCCGATGCGGGGCTCGATCCCAGGACCCTGGGATCATGACCTGAGCCGAAGGCAGACGCTTAACAACTGAGCCACCCAGGCGCCCCTGGGCACAGACAATTTTAGATTCAAGAATCTTTGCAGTGTTATCTGTACGACCACCACCAGAAGCAGCTATGTGTCTACTCACGGGGGAGACAGATGGATTCTGGGTCCTTAATCCAAAGGAATATGAGGCAGCAGGTAGCTTTAGATACACAGACTCAGAAAGTCCAAAGAGCAAGTCTCATGACAAAATTATCACTCCATTTTCCAAAAGCCAGCAATGTGTGACTTGTTTTGTATGTTCATGTTTATGCTTTAGAAACCTCCAGAAACCTCTAGAAGGATGAATACTCAAGTGTTGGCAGCGGTTCCTGCGGGAGGTAGGACTGAGCGGGGAGGAAGACCTCTCCAGTGATCAGAGGAGGAGATCAGAATGTCTGCTGGCAGGACGAGGACACAGAAAAATGTAAGTAAATTCTTCGGATGAGAAAAGAAAAAGGCAGCGGGAGCATTAGGAATCCAACATGCCTCTCCATGCCCAGCAGGAACCACCATCCTGATTTCGTGTCAACGACTCATTTCCTCACAGCTTTCTACAGACACGAGAGTCCTGAAATCATGTACTGGTGGCTGGGCATGCTTTTGAACTTTAAATATATGCACCCTCGTTATGACTTCTGCGATAATCCCCCTCAACGTTACGGTGTAGAGACTCATCCAAATCTGTGCACGGAGCGGAGTGGTGCTGGTGTTCCCGGCCACGCAGAGCTCCGCTATCTGGGCAGAGCCCATGGTGTCTATCCACCTGGATGTGGGCGTCTGGGCTGCTCCTGGTTTGGTGCCATTAGGAACAATTCTGCTCTAGGTCTGCACAGGTCTGTAGGGCACCCACCGAGACCTGGGATTTCTGTGCAGCACGGGTGTGTGTGGTGTGTGCATGGTGGTGTGAAGTGGGATCTCTTTTTGCTTTTCATTTGCATTTCTCTCATTATTCATGAGGCTGAGCATCCTTTTACATGTGTGTGGGCCATTTATGTGCTTTTTTTCTTTCTCCTTTGTAACAGGAGTTGGTAATCCTTTTTTTTTTTATAAAGGGCCGGATACTATTTTTGGATCTATGGGCCATGCAATCTGCATCACAATTACTCAGGGCTGCCACTAGTCCCGAGGAAACCAAAAGCAACATGTCAATGAATGGGTGTGGCTGTGTCCCAATAAAACTTTATTTACAAAAACAGGGAGTGGGCCAGATTTGGCCTGTGGCTTGCAGTTGGCTCTGATTTATGGGATTTCTTTACATATTTTGAAGGGACTTTTTTTATGTGTAGCAAATATTTTTTTTTACCAGATGTAGTGTCTTTTCTCCTAGCGTAGCATGTTTTTGATGAACAGAATTTCCTATTTTAATTATTGTTTTTAAAAAAGTGAGTAAGATTTGCTGAAACTCAGTATCTGCCTGGGTTTATTTCCCATCTTGTCTTAAATATGATCAGGGCTTTCTGGAAGTCCAGTGGGAGAGCAGGTAAGAATTAGATCCCTAATACCCAGACAGATGACATCACCTCAGCGTACAAGTAGAAAATTAGAAGGTTCTCTATGCAAACAAGCAGGAGAAAATACAGAGCAGAGAGCACTGTCCTCCGAGGCAGCCTACATGCCTCCCCCCATGTGAGTGGCACTGCCCACTGAGGAGGAGGACCCCAGAGACCCCCAGGATGAAATATTTCCCCGCAGAGACGCCGGGAGTACTCACCTGGTTTGATGGGCTGCCTGTTTGAGAAGGTCAGCGGTGCAACAAGGAATTTGGTCTCTGCAACTGGCACCCAGTGGTGAAGAATTTTCACTGTCCAGATCCCAGGCCTCAGGGGCAAGTTCAAAGGGGGCTTGTAGTGGGTGAACTCAGCAGTGGATTCAATCAGGATGTCGTAGGTGGCTGCGATGATGTTGACGGGATCCACCCAGATGACAGTCACGGTGACGTTGGGGCCCTTTCCCCATTTCTGCATGCCTACTGGCTCATCCATGGGCCCCAGGAGACCCCCAAAGTTACGGAAGAGCCGCTCCTTGGCATCCCACTCAGTGCCGACCTGAAACGAGAGCGAGTCCTCAAATCACTGAGCCTGAACTAGGTAGGGCACAGGGTCCCAGAGAGGCCTAAGATCCTGCTCATAGGAATGCATATACCCATTTTATAGTTGAGGAAACTGAGGATCCCAGTAGGTCACCTGCACAAGACTGCACAAATAGTAGTAAGCAGAAGATTTGGGATTTGGACCCGGTCTGGGGGATTACAAGGCCTGTGGTCCGTTCATTAAATTCTTGGGCCTCCTGTGCCTGACGCAGGGTTCGTGCTTTGGAAAGAAAACATACCACGTGCACTGAATGAATGAATGTCTGCTGGCAGGCCATCCCCAGGAAACGTACACCTCCCCCTCCCCCCCCACACAGCAGGTACAGCTGGTTTCCACTTCAGTGCTCAGTCTTCTAGATCGGGCACCTCCATTTCGTGTGACGTTCTGAACAAGGAGGGTCCCTCAGCCCCTCCTATCAGGGCAGGAGTCCACATGGCTTTTCTAGGAAGCCCCAGCTGTGGCCTCCCCACAGCGCTCAGAGCTGGACCTCGGGGGTGGGGGGTGACTGTATGATCCATCCTTCCTGCCAGCCAGCTGGAGATGTGTCTCTGGCCGGGAGTCCGCTCTCGGCTTCCCTCCTGCTTCTGTTGCCTGCAGTGTACGGTCTAGCCAGGAGCCAGGAAGTCCTTGTGAATCGTCCTCTTGCTGCTCAAATGCGCCCGTGGCTGGCGTCACTGTGCTTTCCAGGTGCCTAGCACTGGGCCTGGCACACAGCAGGTGCTCAGTATCTGTGGAATCAGCGAGTGAATGACTCTTCGGCTCACCCAGGAGGCTTCATCTGGAGTTTCTGAAGACCCAGCATGTGGGCATGCTGGTAGCGGATGACGAGCACACTCGAAGGCTCGCCGGTTCCCGTGGTCTTTCCACGACCAGCTTCTCCAATGAGTGTGCACATGTTGGGGTGAGGGACACCGGCTGTGAGGTGCCAGTGGGAGCCGGTTGACTTTCTCGTTCTTGCCACGAGGTCCTGTGTCCGTTCTTTCTCCGAGACACAGAGCTCCGTTGCTCATATTTACCCAGCGCTGAGCGCTTCGATGCACTGGCCTGCGTGACTCTCTCAGCTCCGTGAAGGGGAGACCCCGTCATTATCCTCCCATCACAGATGAGAATGCCGAGGCTCAGAGCACTTAGGTCCCTTGCTGGGGCCGGTGAGAGGCAGAGCCGGCACGGGGCCCCCAGAGGCTATGTTCTTAACCGCGTCTTCTGTATCAGCCTCTTGTTCACTCCCTCACACGTTCATCCAACACCAACATGCCGGATGCCTGATGCCCACAGGGGATGCACACCCCCTTCCTGCCGCCGTGCGCTCCCAGGCTCCGTCTTTAGACAACAGCCTCCAGACTGGGACTGAGGGGCTGTCCCAGCGGAGCTGAGGCACTGACTGCGGTAACATTCCTGCAGGGACGGGTGGCCCTCCCAGATGGGTGGCGTTTGGGCATTTCTACCGCCCCTGCCCAGCTCCTCCCGAGGCCCCTGGTGCCAGCACAGTGGCTGCATCAGGGCAGGAAGGAAACCCGTAGCAGTTAGTGAAGAAATGAACGAGGGAGTGAGCAAGATTCCAGCTAGCCTCCGAATCTTGAGATGTCTCTGAAGAAACCCAATCCTGTCCCTTCCCTACCTGCAACCCTCTTCAGCACCTCAGGATTCTCAAGTCTGGTCTCTCACCCCATCCTGTGAGGTCTGGTCCCTTTTTGTCCCGCTTCATCTCAACCCCTCGCCCTCCCCTCCACTCACCCCTGCTCTGGGCCACCTGGATTACTCTCGGTGCCTCCATGAGGAGGGCGCTCTCTCGTCTCTGACCTTCCGTTCGTTCCTGGCCTTCTGGCTTGAACAGTCTGCCTTTGTTTCCCCTCCCTCCTGACCAGCTTCTACTCCTCAGGCAGACCTCAGCCGAGGTGTCTCCTCTACTCAGAAGCCTTCCCCGTTAGAGGCACCACCCATCTCGGGGTTTTTTGGCACAGTATTATAAATTTTAATTTATGCATCTCTTCCCTTAGCTCAGGAGGGTCAACTCCACGAGGAGAGGGACTGTATCTGGCTTGCTCACCAGTGTATCTCTAGAGCCTAAAGCAGTGCTGATCACGTGGTGGGTGCTCAGTCTCTCTCTTTCCTTCCTTCCATCCATGCCTCCAACCTCTAACCATATCATGAATGATGAGGGGCTGAGCACACGGACATCCCTATGCGCCAGGCCCTCCACACACTGGCTTTCCCATAGATACTAACAAGTGGATGAATGGTCACAGAAGGAATGGGGTCCTTCTTAAAGAAGGGCTTTGTGACCAGTTAGGGGAGGCCACTCCAGAACAGTATCCTTGGATTCCCCAAAGAAATGGGGGTGAGCAATCCTCTGAAGTCTGAGCTCTAAAACCAAGACAACCCAAGTGGAAGATCTGTGGAGCAGCTATCAACACAGAAGCTGGCTCTCATTTCCAATCCGAGGAGAGTGAGCGGAAGGCTAGATGCCACCCCCCAGTGCGCGCGGGGCTGGGGCTGCCTGAGATGGGGCCCTGCTGCTATCACACCCTCTGGGGCTTCGAGATCTTCTCATGGACTCACTGGCCACTTACTACACAGTGATCACTACTCAAACTGAAGTCCTTGTTCAAGTTCACCATGTCACTCCCCAACTTCAAACCCACTAAAAGTCTCTCACTTGCATTTAAAATACAATCTGAGCTTTTTTCCGGGGCCTTCAAGCCCCCTCACGATCTGCCTCATCCACTTTGAGACCTTCCTTCTGCTGCCCTCCCTCTCACTCACTGTGCTCTGGCCACACTGGCCTTGCTGCTCCTTGAGTGTGCCCAGCTCCTTCCTGGAGCCTCAGGGCCTTTGCACATGCTCTTCTGCTTGGACTGCTTCAGACCTCCCCGTCACTGGCTCTTTTATAGCTTTCAGCTCTACCGTAGTTACCTCCTTAGAAAAGCTTCCCAAATGAACATCCCATTGAAAGTCGTCCCCATCGGCCTCTTCAGCCCTTGGCAATGACATCAACGAAGTTTTATGTTCTTTATAATACTTGCCATTAGCTGAAATGTTTTTGTTTATTTATTTGCTCACTCACAGGCTGACTGCCCCACCTGACTACAGTTCCAAGGCAACAAGAGCCTGACCTGTCTAGTTCACCATGGCCTCTCCTGCACTAGGGTATCGTAGCCACTTGGTGACTCTCTGCTGAAGGAACGATCATCTTTTCTGCAGGCCACTAGCATGGGGCTCCCGTGGGAGGGAGAAGTCATTTCTGACTGCTCAGCGACACTGGCTGTCTGCTGAGAGCCAGGCCCTGAGCGGGGAGCCCTGGGGCTGTGCCACCACGAGGGGGATCCCCTGTGGTTCTTCCTTTCCCTCCTGTCCTGGTTTGCCTTAAAAACTATTAGGACTTCAGAAAAAAGTACAGACTATAAACTTTGGGGCTCCCTGCATCACACACTGTTACTCTGCCAGAGATCTGGGTGGTTCTCACATCAAAGTTACCAGCCCTACAGTAGGAACCCTCACAAATCACTAGGCACAGAGTGGCCACCCTCATCTGTCACTGCCAGAAGTGCCCCGTGACCCAACGGCTGGCTCATCAACAGGGACAGCCCAGCCGCCAGGCATCCATCTCGTTAATGGGACATTAATGTCTTCAACTGGCCGCCTGGGCCCCCAGCGCAGAATCCAACTGGGGCAGTGTTTTAACTGCCCCCTGACGCTAGTAATATATGGAGGCGGCTCCCATGGCAGCTTGGATCCAGCCAATCCATTTGGATCCTTAATTGAAAATGGTGGCTTCACAAGAAACCCCAGTCCGTAGGGCATAGATGGGCCAGGTGGGGCCATGGGTAGCTGGGAAGGGACTGGCATGGACCGTATAAGCAGGTGAGATACTCCCCCCCAAAACCCCCCAACTCCCAGCCCTTTTAAGAATACTTCGAGAATACTCCGTATTCTAAAACCAGACTCTTCATCCCTAACCCAGCAGCCACACTCATGGGGAATGCTGAACTCCGGGGATTAATCACCTCCTTTAGCTTCTTGCAGAGATGGGGAAGGCAGAAATTGGGTACTGGAGGTTGGTGTGGGCCAGCCCTCACTAAGCTGGATCGTGCTTCCCTTCTGCAGCGTCTCCCCTGCCCCCAAGTGCGTGCACTCCATTCAGAAATCATATTCGGCATCTCCAGATGCCATGTGCAGGGAACACGGCAGTGAGCAAGAGGGACATGGTCCCAGCTTTCTCGGGGACAGCTGACAAGTGATTAGAGAAATCAACGAGATGATTTTGAATGGTAAATGCTACAAAAACAGTAAAATAGGTATGTGTCAAGTGGAGAATGGAGCTCTTGTGCACATGGGTGGGCAGGGAGGGCTTCTCAGAGGGTACACCATTTAGATTTAGATCAGAATAGCCAAAAAAAAAAAAAAAAGCTAGCCCTGTGGAAATGTGAGGCAAAGTATTTTAGGCAGCAGGACCGGCACCTGCCAAAAGGCCAGACCAGGTCTGCAGGTAGGGCTAATGTGACAAGGGTGGTGCTGGGCAAAAAAATAAAATTGCATCCTATGGATCCATGCACCCGTCCATCTGTCTAACCACTGGCCCACCTGCCTGCCCACCTATCCATCCATCCACTCATTTCATCCAATGACTGATCTGAATAAACCCCGGCACTAGGAACTAGGGAGACAGAAGCACCATGAAGCATGAAATTTGTGGCCACAGAGACCCGGGCTTAATTTGAGCTCTTCCACTTCCTAGCTGTGATCCAGAAAAATCCCTGGCCCTCCATAGGCCTCAGCTCTCTGACCTGTAAAAGGGGACTAATGCCATTGCTTCATTAGGAAACTCGTCTGTCACGGTCTATGACCAGTAGAGGTCAGGAATCACTGGCTGGGATGAAAATTGAAGAGGAATACAGAGTCTACTGTAAAAAACAGATCACAGCTCCAGGTTGGTTCGGCCCGCTGATCCCGGCCGCCCTCCGTCTCTCTCCCCCCAGCCCTGTTTAAGATCCCGGTTCCCGTGTTCGGGGCTGGAGGAGCCTCTCTAGGCACAGGGGTGCTATCTTTGGGGCTCCCCAAGTCCCCTTCCCCCCATTTCCATCGCCAAACATCAGACTGGCCAACAGAACCCAGCAGAACAGCTGGAAAAGACCATGAAAGCGCGGCCTCCCACCTCGGAAAACTGGAGCCTCCCGAAGTCACTGGGCGGGCTTGCAATCTTGAAGACCTTCTTTGGCATCACCCACGTCTCCAGGGTCTCCAGTTTGCTCACGGCCAGATTGGTGGCATGATGCTTGATCAGAAAGCCCTGGAAGCGGTCCGCGAGGAAGTAGAGGTGGACAGATGCTGGGTGGCCCATCGGGTAGTACCTGGAACACACACACACAGTCTCACGTGAGCTCAGGGGGCAGGGCCCGAGGCGCGCAGGCTCACAACACAGCGCGCTGCCCCATCCCCACAGCAGGCCCTGTTTTATCTAGTGCTGACCACAGGCCCTTTGCACCATCCCCGAAAGCTGTTCCCTGTGCATCTCAGATCTCAGTCACCCCCAATGACTTCCTGGCTGATTATCAATGTAAAACCGCTAACTGTACAAAAGCACAATAAAGAAAATAAAAATTATTACTTCTGATGTTGCTTCCCATAGAGGATGTCAGCTCACAGATATTTATTGATCCTCCAGTGCCAGGTACTAGGAAGGGCCAATGGTGGGCCAGTGATGCCATAGTGATGGATTTCCTCTCAGCCTGATTTTCTATGCATATATTTGCATAAATCTTACATGCCTGGGATCATAACATACATACTGGTTATATCCTGTTTTTTGCTTCATAGTATTTCCCGAGCATTATCACATGCCTTTGAAATGTCTCTGAAAACATGATTTTTGTGTGTGGGCACACACACTACTCCACAGTGTGCAATGACATATTTCATAGAGCAAGTTCATCATTGGATGCTTAACTTTTTTTTTTGGCCATTCTGAACAATGCTGCCTTAAACATCTCTGAACAAAACTATTTTGGGGGACATCTCTCCTTCTATGTTGTCTCCAACAGGCTCTCAGGTCTGCTGTCCACCTTTATCAGAAAGGTTGTACTGATTTATGCTCCCACTGTCCTCACCCACAGCACTGGATCTTATCCTTAAAATTTATTGCCCATTTGAGATACATACATACATACACACACACACACACACACACACAAATAGGTAGCTCGTGAAGATACATGCCTTTGATATTCCAAGTCTCGCTGGCTGAAAGGGGCAGGGAAGCTAAGCAGAGATCACCCCGAGGAGGCGGGGAGCCAAGAGGGGAAGGTTGTGGACAGCCCCGCACTTTGTCCTTCCTACGTGTGAATAAAAGCTGCCAGCTTCGGCAGGGTGTAAATGGCACAGCACTCAGCGGGTGCTGGTGGCCCCTCGGGGACAGCGTCCCACAAATCCCTGTCCCCCTTGGCCTTCCTTCCCTCTGGTTCCAGTCAGGAGCGGGCGTCTTTGTGTCCAATGATGATGGTGAGGGGAGCCGCCTGCCTGGGTGTACGCAGCTCCCAGCGTCACTGCCTAGTTATCCGGATACCTCCCGGGCTCTGAGAAGAAAAAGCCTGCGCTTGTCTTGGGACTGCTCGCTGGGCATTTGTGGCTCACGCAAACCTGCTTCGGGGCTGGACACTGGGAGCCGACAACCCTCCCCTCCCATCCCTGGACTGTGCTGCAGAACCTTCTACCATCTGTGCCGTCCCATCCAGGAGCGACCAGCCCCTGCTGACTCCTCGTGGCTCCTGAGCACTTGAGATGAGGCTAGTGTGACTGAGCAACTGAAATTTTAGTTAATTTAAGCCTGAAGTGCCGGCTTGTGGCTGGTGGCAACGGTGGACAGCGCAGGTAAGAGTTCTGGAAGGGTCTTGCGGTGGCCTGCATTCATGTCCCCGGGTCTTCCCCTCTCCCGTCCCCACGCTGTTTTCCACCTCACTCTACATGTCTCCATGCGCCACTGAGGCAGTCTCGCTCTCCCTCTCAAATCTGCAGAATTGGCGGAAGGGGAGTCACGCGGGTTCTGAGCCACGGCCTCCAGAAGCCTTGCCCATTTCTATTTGACTTTCTGGCTCTTCTGTGACTACTGAGAGAGCATGCGTGAGTTAGCCCGCTGGAGAACAAGCCACCCCAGTTGTCCCAGCCGAAGCCATCCTAGATGCGGTGACGATTCTCAGCCAAGAATGCAGAGGACCCCCCGCCCCTGACCTGCAGCTGGCTGCAGATGCAGGAGAAGCCAGTGGAGACTGGACGCTGCCCAGCTGACCCACCAACTTGGGCACTGTGTGGATTCTTATCCAAAACTCTGATTCGAGGCTTGTTACACAGCATCGTTGCGATAGATACCCTGTCGCTGTTTGTTCTGTAAGGTGGGTGGGGTCAGTGCAGGTGGACAAAAAGCAGGAGAGCTTGTCATGGGAGTCAAAACAAGAAAGCAGTTCCAGAAGGGAGTGGTCAGTTGTACTGGGTGCTGTTAAGGGGTCAAGTAAATGAGCCAAGGTCAAGCATTCTAGAAACCCAGGAGTTAAGGCTCTGATGGCTTGCTTTCCCTCACCTTCTGTCAAGAAATCCTGTTGTCACCACCTGCATCCATCCTCTCTTCTCCTTATGCACTGCCAGAATCCTGGTCCAAGCCACCACTGTGCCTCACCTGGACCTTTCCAGGAGCTTCCTTACTTGTCCCTTCCTATTTCTTTGTCTACTGTCACCTATTCCTAGTAGCCATGTCCACTGTCCACTGCTTAAATACCACAAGTGGTTTGCTTCATGCTTGTGATAAAATCTAAACACCCAACCTGGTCTACAAAGTCCTGCCTCTTTTCTCTAGCCTTGTTTTGTTTCCCTTTGCCTCAAACTCCCACCTTCTAGCCACGTGGCTTTTATTTTGGATTCCTGAACATGCTAAAAGCTCATTTAGCTTTTGCACAGGATATTCTCTTTGCTGGAGATGCTCTTCTCCTTTGCACAGGGCCTTTGCACAGGATATTCTTTTTGCTGGGAATGCTCTTCTCCTTTTCCATTGCGTGTCTGGCTCTGTATTGCCATTCTGCATAAATGTTACCATCCCACGGAGTTCTTCCTTGACCACTGAATCTTACATCACCAACTCATTGCTACCAAATGGCTTTACCTTCATCCTCAGCAAAGCCTTTACTCTTATTGATCTTTTGTTTCTCTTTACATGTGCTTAGGTACTGTCTTGACACTAGAATGGGAAAGCCTTGAACTCAGAGGTCTGGTCTGTCTAGGTCATGGCTGAGCGCCCAGTGACACGTGGCAGATGCTCAATCAATACATGTTGATTGGGTGAAAATTCTAGAAAGATTTTCTCTTGAACCTTTTGCTTCTAAAGTGCATGTAGGGCACAGGTCACCCAGGACTGAATACAAAGTCCTTTGATACCTCCTCTTGACTGGATATGGTACTTAAGCCATTAAAATAAAGACGAGAGGTAGTTTTGATTAGCTGTGATACGATATAACCTAAAGGCCACCACAGATGCATCCACTTGGCCCAAAGGTGTCTTTCTTACTTAAAATAATGTGGGCACTGAAAAAATCAGATTCACAGAAAAATCTGGATTTCTAATTTCTCTTGAAAAATCAGGAGACGTGTTGGCAACTTCAAGCCTATTAATTCCCTTAGGGCAAGAATGTGCTGGAGCTCAGAACGAGGGCCCATGGGGGCTCCAGACTGGTACGGTCAGCCCACCCTACAGGGGTGAGCAACGCCACCTGCCACCCACCTGTTCCCGGACAGCATTTGAGTTTGAGTACCTGTATTAAAATACTGACAGTCTTATCTCTGGATGGTGGCTCGAAAGCAAACTTGATTTTTTTTTTTTGTTCTCTCAGTCTGCCATTTCAAAAATTTCCGCACTGAACATGTGTTATTTTATAATGAGGAAACAAATCAATAGACATTATTTCTATGAAAAGTTATACTATAGACTGGAAAGACAATTTGCATGAAATGCCCAGAGGAAATGAGGCTCCTGAAATAAAGTTTTCACTTGCTATTTCCCCAGACACCCCAGGGGCAGGAATTCACTCTCTTTTGCCTTTTGGGATAAGGGTCCTTTATCCTGATTTATTTGCAGGAGCATATCCATAAATACATCCACTTTGCCCACAGCAAGGCACAATGGCTCTACTATAATAAAAAATGAGGTAGAAGCCAAAGGATTCCAGGCCCCATTCCAAACTTGATGGCTTGTTTTATCCCAAAACAAATACCAGGAGAAAATCTCAACAACCCTAAATGAATTGGGGGTGTCTTTTGGAATTTCCTATATATGGTCATTTGCCTTATAAATTCCATGAAGTCTGGGACTACAACTCTTCTTGAACAACATTCACCTCCAAAGCGTTGGGCACTGTGTTTCCTACAATGATGGGCGCAATGGCTCTGCAGGCAAAGATTCTGTCCCAGGCTAGCAGGAGGGGAAAGACACTCGTGGATGACCTTGACCCCTGGCACCGCAGCTATCCACCATGAGAGTGCTGGAGGGAAGTCTGAGCTACTTTCAGCTTGGGAGGGGGAGCCCCTGAGAAGCTTCGCAGAGGATGTGGCACTGGAGCTGACCTTCAAAGACTGGGCAAGGGTGGGCTGTGCAAGGGAACGTGCCGAGCAAAGGGAACCACGGACAGTCAAGGAGCAGTTCATACCACCGGTTAGGGAGCGTGCAGCTCCCACACCCAGCTCACTGTTGACTGCTTGTGGCAGCTTCATGGTAACAGCAAGCAACTGAGACATCCAGAGTGACATGCGCACTTAGTGAGCACTTAGCATGTAAAACGCTGTTAAAACATGGATAATAATAACAGTAATACATAACTCATAAGGTAGTGTTTGAAGATGGTCTCCGTTAAAACTCGCACCAGCTTATGCTACGAGGCTTATTATTAGTGTACCCATCTTACAGATGAGGGAACTGAGGCATAGAGAAGTTAATGGCTTGTTCAAGGTCAGCAGGTAGTAAGTACAGTCCTGGGTTCCTAACCCACCCTGGTCTCCCTTCAAACCAGACTAGAACTTGCCGAGAGAGGAGAGGGAAGTCTGAGGCCAGGAGAAGAGAATGAATGGAAGCTGGCTTGCTGCAGCCCTGTAGCCCAGCTGGCTATGTGCCAGACACCGGGAGGACACTTTGCCACGTTTTCAGGCTTTTAGGGAACAAAATGGTTCCTCTTCCCTTCTCCTTCTTCCGCTCTCCAGAAGAGGGAAGAGCGGGGCAAGGAGGGACACCAGGGGAGGCCTCAGTGTAGACAGTTTGTGGTTCAAAAAAAAAGGTTTCTCTTTGTAGTTGAAAGAGGGAGGTGGGATGAAGAGGAGAACGGAAAACAAGAAAGAGAAGGAGAGTGATTAGAGGCACTTCTGGGAATCCATCCTAAGGAAATAATCAGAAAAGGGAAGGAAAGAAAAAAGGCTTTTGCACAAAGACAGTCATCAGAACGTTATTTACAATGGTCCATTACTGACAATGCAACAGGAAAGGACTGGATGAGGCAAACTCTGGAATTTCTACTCAATGGAATCCTTGTGGGCATTAAAGAAGATCATTATCATTAGGGAAGCTGCAGAACAGCATAGGCAAAACGGGGCTAATATTATAATGCCAAATGAAAAACAGGATTCCAAATTCTTATTGCAATTATGTAAATATCTGCAATGCATATTGCTGGTAGGGAAGAAAAGGCACACAAAATGACAAAGCTGGTTGGCTTAGGGAAGGTGGCGGGGGGCGGTGGTGAATTGCTCTCCTACTTTTCCCTCTTCTTTCCATATATTCTAGAACACTCTTTCTTGAAGTGTCAACTGGTACCAAGGGGGCTGAGATGATTCTAAGGGATCCCTGAACGTCTTAAATAATAGGTCTGCATTTTAATGATGTTTTCGGTGATATTTTTAGGTGTGCCAACCATAGTATGTTTGTGTTTTAAAAAAGAGCCTTTATTTTTCAGAGATACCTATTAAAATACTCATGACTCAGATGAGAGTCTGGGCTTTGCTTCATTCAAATTGATCTGGGAGGAGGGGTAAGTGGGCAAAAGCCAAGAGGAAATCGCCTTGGCCCGGAGCTAGAAATCACTAGAACTGGGTGATGGGGGTATGGGGTTGCACTCTACTATTTCGTATCTACTTGACATCTTCTGTAAGAAGAATTAAACAAACAAAAGTACTGTATTTCCATGGTTCCCTTCCGTGTAAGGCAAACATGCCTATTTAATGTGGGGACATAAAGCTTCCTTCTAAGATACACAGACTTCGCATAAAGAACGGGTGCGCCGCCAGGACATAATTAGGTAAAGAGAAGACGTGGTGTTCTGCAAAAATAGTTGTGGGACCGCGGCTTAGAGCAGATGAACTCGGGCCATGGGGATGGTTCGGTTGCTTTTTAGGTCAGGGGAGACGCGGAGAAGCGCGCGGTCCCCACCCCACCCCACAGTCCTTCCGGTGCTGTGCGCCCCTCCCCGCCCTCCCCCTGCCTGCCCGCCCACGGACTCACCGGCAGCTATTCTCCCCTTCCACGTGCAGTGACGACTCGGCCCTTCGGAGGCCCTGGCGGGCGAAGGAGTGATACAAGGTGAGCGCCACGTCGCTCAGGCTGTGGGTACCGTCCGGCTCATCGTACACGTTCTCCCAGTAGGATCGGAGGCCCGGGGTGCCCGCAGGGTAGTTCCCGTACAGGTAATAGTCCAGCTGCCCGATGATTTCCTGATTCACCACAGCTTCGAATTTTCGGGCAAAGAAGGTGGGCCTGGCAGTCTGCTGTGCTCCCGGGCGGGGCGGGGCGGGATGGGGGGGGGCAGGGAAGAGAATAAAAAGAGCAACGTCAGCAAGCGGGGTGGGGGTTTTAGGAGCAGGGCTCTGCAGCCAGCCTGTCTGGATCCCGATCCCAGCTCTGACACTTACTAATCTCTCTATCCTCAGTTTCCTCATCTGTAACATGGAGATAAGAAGAAGTGTGTCAGGAATGAATGAGTTAATATTTGCAGAGCATTTAAAGCAATGATGGGCACATAGCATCATTTAAATGTCCGTTAAATAAATGACATTCTAGATGTTTATAGCGGAGATGGATCTCAAAAATCATTTAGCTGGAGGTCCGGGACAAATACAGCCTGCAGGTATATTTTAGTTGTCCAGCAGAATGTTTTAAAATTGAATTAGCTGGCAGTAGTTAAAAGGTACCAGAGTTCACAGAAACAACTTTTGGCTTCCCTTTAAGCAGAAATAGACCTGGCAACCCCAGGCCCATGTTCCCAGAAGGGAACGACCTCCTAAAGCTGAAGGGCAGCTCTCCCTGTAGATATGCACAGACGCTTCCGCTCACCTCAGTCCCCACCACTCCCTGTTGCCTCCTGGGCATTGCCAGTGATTGACAGACTCACAAGGAACAGCCCAGAGGTACTGGTCGGAGTCTCTGCGAGGGGGGCTTAGGAATCTACATTCTTAACAGATTTTTGAGGGGATTCGTTTGCTGAGGTTTGAAGAGAATGTGACACCGGAACCGGGGCTCACACCACTGCCAACTGAATAGCTTTAAAAAAGTCCAGATTCTGGGGGCGCCTGGGTGGCTCAGTCCGTTAAGTGTCCGACTCTTGATTTCGGTTCCGGTCATGATCTCAAGGTTGTGAGATCGAGCCCTGTGTTGGGCTCTGCACTGCACATGGAGCCTGCTTAAGAGTCTCTCTCTCCTTCTCCCTCTGGCCCTCCCCGACTTCCCTCTTTAAAAAAAAAAAAAAAAAAAATTCAGTTTCTGGAGTCCTTCCCCAGACCTACAGTGTCAACATCTCTGGAGATGAGGTTTAGGAATCCGTAACCAAAAAAGTTTCCTAGGTGATCATGAAGACCACTTATGTAAACCAAGTTTTCAAGGAAACAGAGGCCCAGAGAGGGAAAGGGACTTATCTAAGGTCACACAGCAAGATAATCCTTACTCTGCTACTCAGCTCTGCTGGTGTCCAGTGAAGCAGCCACATAGTAAGCACAGCCTTGGCCAATGAATGGCTGTGGCTATTTTCCAAAAACCTGTACTTACAAAAGCAAGATTTGGCCCAGGGGCCGTAGTTGGCTGACCCCGGTCTAGGGCTATGGGAACAATGAAAGCACAGCCCCTCGCTTGAGGAGCTTAGGGTCTAGTGCTATTACGGACCTTCAACTGGGTCTGGTACTGTTGTCAGTGCAGTGGATTAGTAACAGTACTAATGACAATAAAAACCGCTGAGCACACACTCTCTGCAGAGCACTGCGTTCATGTCACCACCTCGAATCCTTCAATCAACTCTGCAAAGCAGGCATGATGACCCCCATTTTATGTATAAGGAAGCTGAGCTCAGAAAGGGGAAGTGATATATACAGACTCACACATCCGCAGGATTCGAACCCAGATCTGAGGACTCAAATACTGCATCATCCTAGGATTGAGCTGCTAACTGAGCAAACAAACATCCTTGGTATTATTCTGAACATCCTCTCACTTCCCTGCTTTATGAACCCTGTGGTGGTCTGTGGATAATATTAATAATATTCTGGCCCTCTTTGTGGTGGAGGGTCAGTTCAGTTCCCTTACAGTAGCGCTGAAAAGAGTCAGACCACTTGGGTTCAAATCCTTACTCTGCTACTTTCCAGCTATATAGGTCTTTGGGGAAATCACCCAGGGCCTCAGCTTCATCCTTGAAATGGGTATAATCCTAGAGGTACTTAGCATAGAGTCTGGCACACAGGATCATCTGCTATTATGATCTATTGTCACTACCCCCTGAAGCCTGCAACAAGAAGCTTCTAGATCTTCATGTTCTGGGGCAAGAGAAGTGGACTCGGGGGCCAGGCAGCCTCCGGTCTCTGCCTGTGATTCTCTATTCCCAGCTGGATCTTCTAAAAGGGCATGTTTCTAGATTTACCACTCTTCTTCGAACAAGAACTCTGAGTTCCTTACAGGCAGCAGTTTCTTGAGTCTAGATATTGGGGGATATTCTGGATCTTTGTTTACTGTGAAAGAAACAGCTGTGAGCATGTGCGAGGCCTCCGTGTTGGCCTGTTTTTACCAGAGACCACGATGCCCCCAGGAGGCTGGGGCTGGAACACGAAGGCTGCCCCGAGCAGCGCGGCTGCTTGCTCTCAACGATGACGGTCCTTTGCCTCGAGGGCAACAATTGGTCCTCTACAAAAGTGGGAATCCTTTTTTTTTCCTTTTGAATAGGTCAAATACTACCCCCCCGCCCCCCCCCAACCCACAACCCTCTTTCTGCTCAGCGGATCCTTTTTGCGTGGACAAAAGCGTTAAATGTCACCCAAGTTCATACCTAAATTAACATGGGTTTGAGGAGGTCCCTAGGTAGCTCTTCATCTGCCTCCAAAAACAGGCCTAAAGAAATACTTATTGCAGCAACCGCTGACCGGTGCGAGATGTCAGGTGGGCGCCCGGAGGGAACCCGAATAACGAGATGCCACCTGCTGTGTGCTCTGCACCCATGTAGACACAAAACCAGGGTGGCCGCGGGGTCTAGTGGAAAAAGCCCAGGTCTGTAACTGGAAGCACCTGGGAGGGACCCCCAGGCCTACCACTCCACTGTGTGTCCACAGACAAGAAAGTTCGCCCCTCTGTGCCTCAGTTTCCCCATGCACAACGGGGATGATGCCTACCCCAAGGAAGCCAACGTCCACAAAGGGCCTGGCACACAGCCTGGGACAGAACGGATCCCCACCCCTGAGCTTCTCAAACATAAGGAGCCCCCCAGTCACCTGGGGAATCTTATTTATACGCGGATTCTGACCTAGTACGCGGGGGGCAGCGGCAGAGATTCTGTACTTCTTACAAGCTTCCTGGCAAGGCTGATGGGGATGGTCTGGGGACCACATGCCAAGGAGAGGAGCCAGGCTCAGAGACCGGAAGCTCCATCTGCGCTCTCCCCTGGGCGGTTTTGTTACGTGCCCCAGCGAGTCGGTGGGGGCACCTCAGCCTGGGTTACCCACCTGCACTGTGGTTCCCGCCCGCCCGCCCTCTGGGCTCGTGCTTGGGGAAGAAGCATACTAGCTCCACGTGGTGGCTCTCGTGACCTCAGAGCCATGTGCTTAGCCATTCTGGGGCGTTCTGTCTGTGCTCTTGGCAGCAGGGGTGAGGGCATGGTGGAGGGGGAGAGGAGGAAGAGCCTCAGGGTGCTGGCCTAGAGGGAGCAGGAGGGACACTCACAGGGGATGGAAAGAGGCTGCCATCCTGAACAGGTCTGGGGGCCAAGGCATCCTCGGGCTCACGGAAGCGGGTGGAGCACTGATCACCCCTTGCCCTCTGCTCTCCCCAGAACCATAAATGGCCAGGCCGTGCAGAGATACTGTGACAGCACCAGTGTGTCTACCCCCTCTTCCTCCTTTAGGTCCTCAGAGCATGGTGTTTTCCAAACCTGGCTGCTCATCAGAATTTTCCAGAATCTAACAGGTTAAAATAAAAATTTCCAGACCTCACCAGAGACCAGCAGTTCTTAACTGGGGGTGAGTTTGCCCCCAGAGGACATCTGGCGATGTCTGAAGCCATTTCTGGTCGTCACAACTGAAGTGTGCCCCTAGAGGGAGTGGCCAGAACCCAGGGACGCTGCCGAACATGCAGCACGGTGCGGGACGGTGCCCCCCGCCGCAGAGACCGACCCAGACACCATGATAAGAGGGCTGAGGTGGAGAAACTCTGCCCTGGGCACACTCAACTTTGTACCCAGAAATACATTCTTAACCCACATTTCGGAGAATGATTGAATGATAGAGAAATGGACGTGGAAACATACATTGGCCTGTGCAACCTCAAGTTTTTGGACCTTTCTGTGCCTCAGTGTCTCATGTCTAAAATAGAGTAACAATAACACTATCTCTGTGTACCCATCTGAGGTTGATGGTGGGGGCCTCTGGGTCAATACAGGCAAAATGGTTAGAACTGCTCTGGTACGGGGGAAGTGGCCGGTGAATGGTGGCCCCTGCTCATGCCATCACTGTGAATACCCCCGGCCAGGGCCGGTCGCCGCAGGATAAGGTGCTACGGGCCGGCCGGCAGGCTCACCTGGAAGCGGTGGAAGTCCTGCGGCTTGAAGTCGTTGGGCGAGCAGCCGCACCAGTCCACGATGTGCTTGTACTGACACCTGCAGCCCAGCTTCCGGTTCCAGTTGGTGATGCGCAGGTTGTTGTCCACCATGGTGTCGCAGTGGGGGCTGTTCTCCAGGACCGTGTGGAAGAAGGACTGCAGGGGAGACAGGGAAGGGACTGGCCTGAGACCTCCTGCAGCCTCCCTCCCCAGCACCACATGACGGTGCAGGGACTCCCTTGGGAGGCTCCTCGGTCGTCTCTGCCAAGGAGCGTCAGCCGCCAGTCTGCTGTGACTCAGGGCACACGGGATGTTTTGTCCACAGGGGCTGAATTCCGCTTGGAAGGCCAACGCTCTGGGTGTTTCTCTAAATTGTCTTTCCCGACAGTCTACAATCTGATTTCAAGGTGTTTCCTATCATTCAGGACATCTTCTGTCTGCCTGGCAGAGAGGAAAAGTCCCTCCGGTCATGGCCACACATGGGAACCAAAAGAAACATGGTGACATTTATCCAGAAAATCCTGAGCCAAAAAGGCTCATGCTTTGCAAATGGCCAGGTCTGAAACCAAAGGGATTCTAGTCTGAGATATCTCAAGAACAAAGACTGATGCTCTGGAATTTCACCCCTGGGTAAGGGAAGCCAGATTCATGGGTGTATCAGTCCCAGGGCTGGAAGGTGTCCTAGGTACCCCTCCTGCTTTAGCCACGGATGGGAGCTGGACTGCAGCACAGGGAGGGGCGGGCTAGGGCTGCTTGCTGTCCGTGGTGCTGAACCAGGCTCTGTTGGTCTCTGCTAATCCTAAGACTCTTGGCCTCTCTCTCCTAAGAATGTGAGAAAGAAGCAATGCTGAGAGTGGAGAGAGACCAGAGAGGAGACACATGGTTATAGCCTCTGAAAGACTGAGAGAGAGAGAGAGAGAGGGAGGGAGGGAGAGGCAGATTTCTATTTGGACGCTGTTTTATAACAACCCCAGATACGAGGCAGATACCTTCTCCCCTGCTCTCTGCTCCCTAGGGGAAGCTGTTGGGGGATAGGAGTCTGCCTGTAACAAATTTATGGCTCAGCCTTCAGATTTATTCTAAAGTGGTTTTCTGATGGTGGTCTGGGAGAAGAAAGGGCGAGGCAGGGATGCTGGAGGGTAAAGTGCTTGTGTGTGCTGGGACAGGGTTGTGACAGACAAAGCCAGCATCAGGATGGGCATCTTGATTAAGGCAACCAGAACCGCACACAGTCTCTTCTCAATAGGTGGAGGGCAAAACAAGGCTCCACCCACCACCCCCAGCTTCCCTTCCTGTGCGGCTAAATGACATATACCCGTGAACCTGGATTTTAAGCTTGAATTGTCTACAAGCCCACAGAGGCACATATTCTCCATCAAGCGGTGGGGAAAAGTTCCAAATTACCAATTGCCCTGTGTCCTTTCATAATGATACAGAAATTCCCCGCAAGATAATGGATGAGGAGGTTATCAGCACTGAGAGAAAAGGTGATTTTTGGTGAAATAGGATTAAAAGCTGATTACCAAATGTGTGTGCAGAATAGTAAAACTGGGCCCAGTGATGGCAAGCCCATCATCGCTCTGGAGTGATGTGAGTGGTCAGCCCTACCAGCCTGGTGCTGCCCCAGATGTTGGTGAGGGATGCGGGAACCATCAAATGAGGTATGTTGTCTTGTGTGGACTAGAAACACAGCCTGAGCCTAGGGCACTGCCAGGAAGAAATGGTAGGAGACCACTCATGGGAGATGTCATGGGCTCAAGAGAAGTGGAACCAGCTCTGGAGTTTTCTGAAGTCAGAAACTGGGATGGAAGTCAATTGGAGGTCGGTGCAGGTCTGAGAAGGCTGCTGGCCTGTCAGTGGCAGCATTTCAGAACTGGGTCCCCACCCACCTCCGGATGGAGCGGGGGACAGTTCCAGAACGGTCTGCAACCTTACGCAACCAGGCTTCTGCAATGGAGTGCACGTTTCTGTCTCCTTCTAAATTCAAAGGTTGAAATCCCAGCTCCACAATGTGACGGTGTTAGGAGGTGAGGGCCTTTGGGAAGAGATTAGACTAGGAGGGTGGAAACCTCATGAATGGGGTTCATGCCCTGACAAAAGGGGCCCCAGAGAGCTCCCTCGTCCCTTGTGGCATATGAACGGTCGGTATGCAGACTGCAGCCCGGAACCAGGCCCTCACTGGAACTCGACCATCCTGGCACCCTGACCTCAGACTTGCAGCCTTCAGAAGGGTGAGAAGTAAATTTTTGTTGTGTATAAGCCACCTACTCTGTTGTACCTCATTGTAACAGTCTGAACTAAGATACCTTTCCTGCACCGAAGTCTGAAAAGTGGTGACAGGCTCCCTGGAGCTTTTCAAATGCTTCTAAAAGTCATCAGGAAATGCTGAGTCGTCCCAATGGCTGTCAGTACGGGAGATAGTGCAGGTCCAGCAGAAGCCCTGGCTCTCTGTCTTTGGGATCACTGGAATTTCCATTTGTGAATGATAAGGCCAACACTACTGTCTGTCAGGGAATGGTAGACAAATACTAAGAAATCAGAAAAGGTACTCTTCATGTTGAAAAAGTGGGTATTACAGGATTGGTGACCATGGACGATCTGTCAAAAGTTGATGTGGGTGTGTCCTGAAAAAGCCAGCATATACAGTTGTGCAGGCTACACACTGCACAACCCTAATGGGGCAACATCAACACGGTAGGAATGAGAGATTTCTTTTTCTTTTCTTTTTTTTTTTACAAACATTTTCTGGAAAGTGGCAGTGAAGTGTCTTGTTCTAACAAGGTCAGCATATCATGATGATTTTTATGACCAATGGGAGCCAAGTGTCTTGAGGAAGGACTGCCTTTTCTACTTTGCACAAAGATGCTGTGTGGACTGCTGGTGGCAGTTGTGTGTCTGTCTATGCCATACACCCTCCATGCAGACCAGAGGAGGGCCGGGGGCTTGCTATGACAGCAAGGACCCTGGTGGCTGATGTAGTTCTCCACCTTCATCTGGATGTCTGGAGGACTAAGTATTGGAACCAGCATTGCTTTGCCAAACCTTCAGCAAAAATTCAGCTTCCGTATTCCTCCAAAGGCTAGAGCCAGCTCCTAACCTGCTCAGGGACTTTTTTCCTACACACTCACCTCAGCAGGAAGCAGGGTGTAGGAGTAAAACTGCTTCATCTTGGTCACTAGATCATCTGTGGAGAACGTCACATACTCCACAAACTTCCGGTTCAGCAGGAACCAATCCGAGCCTCCATCCACAGCAATGCCCTCCGGGATTCGGCGGTCCCCAAGGCGCCACATGTGGGCGTCACACTCCAGGAAGAGCCGGTCCAGACCCTGCTTTCGGATGAACCTGGGAAAGACAAAGTCGCCCTTCAGCCCAAAGGTGCACGGAATCCAAATGAAATAGCACAATCATGGCAATAAAAGCATGTACTGGGCACTTACTGTATGCCAGGGATCAAGCCGGGGAGGGGCTCTGTGTATAGTTTGTCACTTGATCTTCAGAAGTGAGGCAGGTCACTATATCCCTATGAGGTGGGCATTGCCATTATGCCCATTTTACAGCTGAGGACCCTGAAGCTTAGAGTGTTTAGGGGGATTTGCCCGGCACAAGAACAATGCAATGATCATCTTCTTCTTCCTTTGCAGAACTTTTGGAAATCACCTTTTCATGCCACGAATGCCTTGGCAGTTGGGTGAATACAGCCTCTGGATGCTCATCTCAGAATCATGCTCTTAAAGGCACACCTCAAAATATGTAGGATTACAAAGTATTTTTTAAAAACACCAAAGTTACGATCTGATAATCTGTGTGCTTTTGGATTCACACATTAAATACAGGATCACAAAAGATTTTTAAAAACACTGAATTCATGATAATCATGTGTGTTTCTTTTTTTTTTTTTTAAACACATCAGATAACATGATCTTGCGGCAGGTCTAATAACTACTGTAATTGTGCAGAAGAGGTGAGCGTAAATGATACTTAGAGGTATATGCACAACCATAATGTGATATGAAAATTTGTGATTCCTAACAGTTACTGCTAATACTGTTGTGGTGTGTTACCTCTATTTAGCTGGATTTTAATGAGAGTTTAGTGGAAACAAAAATAATTTTCTTCCCAGCCCAAGTGATGGAACCCTTGAATTCTCTCCATGAACCCCAGATTAGTAACTCCTGCGTTAGTGTGTGTGTGTGTGTGTGTGCGCGTGTGTATTTGGGATTTGCAAGGCAGGCTGAGCAGAATTGGCAGCTCCTAATTTGTAGATGCAGAAATCAAACATCAAAGGGCTGCTATGGGTAGAACTAGAACCAAGCCTTCTGGCCCGAACCGTCAGGTCCTTTGCAGGATGAACTTCACACATACTGTGTGCCAGGCAGTGTGCTGGCCTGGTGTGGGGCAGGAAGGACCAGAAGGAAGGATGCTCCTGCCCCTCAGGAGCTAGTTCTCTCTCTGGGAGCCTGCTGTCTAGACATCTCCTGACCCAGGGATCTCGCTGCTTCTCCAGCTCATACAACGCAAGATCAACCATTTTAAAGTGTACAATTCAGTGGTATTTGTACGTTCATGATGCTGCGCAGTCGCCGCCTATGTAGTTTCAAAATATTTAAGCACCCTCCCCCAAAGGAGACCCTGTACCCGTGAGCAGTCACTCGCTCCATTCCTCTGCCCCTGGCCTCTGGCAACCACCAATCTGCTTTCTGCATCTATGGATTTACTTATTCTGGACATTTCATAGATTTAATCAGACAATATGTGGCCTGTTTGTATTTGGCTTCCTCCACCCAGCATGTTTTCAAGGCTTCATCCCGTGTTCTTGACTACCCAGCATCCACCCCTCAATTTTCTGGGACCACACCCTGACTGTTCCTTGGACGGTCACCTATCTTCAATCTCAGTTGACCTGGATTCGTGCCCTACACCCAGCACCAGGGGTGGCCACATGACCAGGCTGGTCAATGAGAGTATTCCATCTGCCCCGCTGGATAACTGGTTCAGGGATGGGTGAGTAACTCAAGGTTAAGTCTGAGATCGGGCCCTGGATTTTTGCTGCATCTACCAGGAAGGAGGCTCTTCTTCTTCTTCTTCTTTTTTTTTTTTAAAGATTTTATTTATTTATTTGAGACAGAGAGAATGAGAGAGAGCAAGCACATGAGAGGGGGGAGGGTCAGAGGGAGAAGCAGGCTCCCTGCCGAGCAGGGAGCCCGACGTGGGACTCGATCCCGGGACTCCAGGATCATGACCTGAGCCGAAGGCAGTCGCTTAACCAACTGAGCCACCCAGGCGCCCAGGAAGGAGGCTCTTCTATGGCGTTTTTGCTGGGAGAATGTCAGCCTAGAGCTGCTAACAGCCATCCTGTCGCCACAAATATAGAAGCTGTTTGATAGTACAGGTAACACAGAAGGGAGAGGGAGGGAGGGAAGGGGAGAGGGAGGGAGAGCAAAAGAGAGAGGGAGGCAGAGAGGGAGGGAAAGGGGGAGAAGGACGGGGGGGCGGTTAAGTCTTGGTGACTTTGCTTGAGATCCTGGATCCCACCATGTGTGACTCACCACCAGGCTCATCAGTAATGTGCTTAGGGCATTTGGAGATGAGATTCTGCCACTTGCAGTTGCAAAAATCCTCATACATTCCTCAACAATTTAAACTCTTATCCCTACCAGGATGGATGTGAATGTTCTCAGGCCCCAGACAGAGCAGGCAACCATGGCTGTGGCACGTAAATACCCCTCTTCCACTAAGCCAGTCCACCTCCCTCGTCATGTGTCTACAGGTCTTTGCATCTCCATGGCAGATGTCATCACTGGCTTCGGATTAGAGTTACCAGTCTCCCCCCAGGTAGACGCGGCTCTCATTAGAACTGACCTCGGATTCCTCCTTTCCGCTTTTCTCCCAGATCCTAGGGCAGCGCAAGGCAGTGATTCAGGAAAGGTCTATTTTTTTTTTTTAAGACCTTATTTATTTATTTGAGAGAGACAGCAAGCGGGGAGAGGAGCAAAAGGAGAGGGAGAAAGAGAGAGAGAATCCCAAGCAGACTCCATGCTGAGCGTGGAGACCGACGTGGGGCCTGATCTCATGCCCTTGAGATCATGGTCTGAGGAGAAATTAAGAGTTGGACACTTAACCAACTGAGCCACCCAGGCGCCCCTCAGGAAAGGTCCACTGTGATGGCCACACGGCAGGTTACAAAAGCTGGAGTCCATTTCACTGTGCTGGACATGCTGAATTCTACAGAGACTCCCTCCCCCTGAGCCTCCCCCAATCCACTAACATCCACTGGAGGGAACCGTGTGAAACCTCACTAATAAATCCATATTGCCAGTTCTTTTTTCTGCATAAGTGGGGGACCTGCCCCTAGGCACTGGTCACCCTTTGAGCATGATGATGTAATACACTGAGTTCTTAACACAAATGGTAACGGTGTCATCAAAACACTGATGATGGTGAACAGGCTGAGTTCTGCTGAAAAGCACTTTTCGTCTATGCTGTGGTGCAGCTCTGCCAGTAACCAGCTGACTTTGGGAAGCGATGTCCTTGAGTCTTGGCTTCTCCCTTGGTAAAATGATAAAGTTGGGCTAGGTCTGGATCGCAACCTCAAATGCCTACAGGGGTCAGACAGATAATGGAAGCATGGGAAGCAGGCTGGGTATAAGACAATAGGGTAGGTGGAGTCACAGCAAAGAAGGAGAGAAAGCATTTTTTGAAAAATTTTTGAAAAAACTCCTTAAAAAAAAAGGTATTTCTGGCTACATAAAACAGATCCCTAGCCTGACTCCAGCTCATGGGCCACCAGCCATAATAACCATGGGTTAGGTAACTGTTGGGCATTTTCCGGTTGTGACACTCTCTAAGTCACTCTGTTCTACCCACGAAGAGAGTGTGGGGCAGGAATTCCAGCCAGATACATGGGATCCCAGAGAAGGCTGATGACTCTTCCGAGGATACACAGAAGACACAAGCCAACCAGAAGACCCAGATATCCAAAGACCCTAGTCTTGTTCTTTCCCTAACACAGGTTTCCAAGGGTAAAATCCAAGCTGTTCACAAAACCATGTTCTCTCTGGGAATGACTTGTTGCAGGTTTTTCAGTATACTTCCTGTACCATTCCACGGATACAAAACTGAGCTCTAAAACCCATCCATTAAAGGAAGCCCCTGAGTTTAGGAAAAGAAAATCCTACCTCAGCTCTGACTGGTGCTAATTATATAATAATGTCCAATCACAGACACTTAACCATGCTTAAGACTTTAAATTTTAGGTAACTTACAGCAGAACTTACATGGTAACCAAGACTAACCCAGAGAGAGAAAGAAAAGAAATACAGGTGTGAGGACATGCACAAGTTTTCTTTCCACATTTCGTGTTCCATTATGGGAGAATAGCATCGTCTTGCAATTTTAATGTGACGTCCCAGACCATAATATCCAAATACAACATTTATGCAGTAATCTCCAAAATGAAATATTCATGGGGTGGGAGATTGGTTGCTATATTTACTGCATTTGAAAAGTGATAAGCTGCAAATTCATTCTTTGGTTAATTATGAGTCAACAGAGACAAACAATCCCCCAGCTCTCAGTTCCAGGGTTGAGAGGGGGTCTGGACTAGGGAGGAGGTGGCCCGAGGCCCAGAGTCTGGGTTTCTAGCAAGGGAAAGGAATCAGATGCTTGGGCAGGGATCTGCATTTTGTTTTCTGCCCTGGGCATTTGCCATCGCTTGCAAAGGGAATGGATGGAAATCAAGGTAAATCGGCCAACAGCTGGGTGTGGCTATTCACAAATGTTGGTCAGCAGCCAAGGATGCGTGGTGCTGTCACCTGAGGGGTGGCGTGCAGACTGGGCCCGATAACAGAGGGTGACCAATGACACTCCCCTCTCTCTAGTTTCATCTCCAGATGACTTGCTTATGTGGAGGCAACAGGGGCAACAGGTGGAATGAGAGAAGAGATGCGGAGGGCATCTGGGTACTAAGGCTGTCTCTGCTTTCACAGGATGGTGAGCTGTGGGGTTGCCTGGGCTCTCTGAATGCCAGTTTGCTCATCTATAGGATCAGCTCCATCACAGCTGTGCTGACAACCCCCTGAATCAGCTGTGAAGGTGTAACAGGTGAGGTTTACGAAGGTTCTTGCTAAGTGTTCAGGAAGCACCGTTCATCCTAGCCATGGACCGACCCAGGTGTCAGTCCCTTCTTACAAAGCGGCAGCACCTTCCACAATCCCTCATGTTCCTGACCACCCTTTTGTGCTTTGCTTTTCTTCATAGCATTTAAAACTTTGCATTACCATATACAAGGTATTTATTTAGTTTACTGTCTCCTTACTGGATGTAAGCCCAAGAGGGCAGAGGGT